CGGACGATGTAAAAAAGACGCCAATTTTATTTACTTTTTATTTTGTAACTTTCCATGTCGGGCTAAGCCTGCCATTGTAAATTCACTTTTAATGGCAGGCCAGGCACGACATTGAAAGTTGCCCATATTAACCCTAACTTTTAACTTTTCAATCAAAATTTTACATCCGTAAAATTTCAGCCTCCCACCTCCCTTGCCGCGCGAAACCCTCTCTGTTGTCGTGTGAACCAACTTCGTTGCGGTGGAAAAGGAGGCGAACATCCACATACGGTGGTGCGAGCGACAATTCGACAGCGACCAAAGAAGATCTAGACTCGTAAAGAAGGCTTGCAAGCTCCCTTTGCTTTGTGACTTTACGCTTGGACTCGTCATCTTCGCCAATCGTGGTCGCCTCTACGAGTTTTACAGTGGAAATAGGTACGCTTCTTCTTCTTCTTTTTCTGTTTATTCGATTCTTTAATCTTCGACTTTGTGTGTTGATGTATTGATGAACATAGTGCAAGTTGAATTTCTTTTGAACCACGAATGCTCATAGTTCATGCGAAATGACCGCACTGTGTCGGGTTCTTAAGAACTGTGTCGGGTTCGTGGGAAATGACCGAGCGTTCGTGGCAAGTTGAATTTCTTTGTCGGGTTCTTAAGAACCACGAACTGTGTGTTGATATATTGATGAACCCTCCTTGTTTTGTTTTCTTTTATTTTGTTTTGTTTTTTTATACTAAATCTGTTGCCTTTTTCTTTTGATTAATGAACTGATGAACCACACCTATTGAATAGGTAATTTGGTATCATTTTGGGTTCTCCATTGATGGGTAATGGTGGTTGTGGATTGGGTTCAGAGAAGTGTGCTTTGTGGGTGGTGGTGGAGGTGTGGTGTGGCTCTCCATTCGTGGGTTMGAATGCTTGCAGATTGAAAGGTTTGCATTCCAACTGACGTTTTCAATTTCTGATTTGGTGTGAAATATTGTATATGTGAGTATATATAGTATAGTGATTTGATTAAGATATATCTTATAACTCAATTTGTATATATGCAGATATATACTATAGTGATTTTGAATGTATATATGCAGAAATATAAGTGGATATATCTTATAACTCAACTTGTATAATGCAGATATATACTACAGTGATTTTGAATGTATATATGCAGATATATAAGTTGATATATACTGTGATTTTGAATGTATTTTTTGAATATGCGAATAATTTTTTGAAAAGTAAATTAAGGTTTCGAAGGAATAAATTAAGGAATTTGTGTCTACCATTAGTATGGGCCCACAAGATTATGATAATAATTTATAGAATTAAATCTTTTATATTTAAAAAAACAAATAACTATAATAAATGTAAATACAATAAATAAATAAGAATAAAATTGAAATAAAAAATTAAAATTTGTATAAATAAGTTTTTAAAACAATTCGTCCAAAATATTAAAAATCAGATAATAGATATAATGGCCCATCGTACGAATAGATATAATGCGGCTCGTGAATAAGCATTAAACAGAGAGGCGTAGTGTAGAATCAGCCATCGCTAATTATTTTAGGGCAGAAATTTTCATAGCCACAAACTAAGCGGAAGCTCCACAGCCACACGAATGGCGTCTACTCCATGGCACCTTGTTGTCTTCACCACCGTTCTTGATTTTGATTTCTCAAATTCCAAACCCTTATCGTCTCTCTTTCTCTTCAATCCTCCGCCAGATACACCCTTTTCCACTATCCCCTCCCCTGCGCCTTTTTTCCCTAGATTTTTCTACGCGATCACTCAGTTTCCGTGCTTGTTCTCCCCGATCGTCTGTTGGGTCTCGCCGCGGCGGTGTTCTTGCAGCGCTCCGGCGCTCTGGGAGGCTGTTGTCATCTGGGTTTGTTGGATATGGCTGTGGCTTGTTCGATTGCGGACTAGGAAAGGGGAATTTGCCGGGATTCTGTTGAGATTTGAGCGGAAGAAGGATGAAAATACAGTGTGATGTTTGCGAGAAGGCTCCTGCTACTGTGATTTGTTGTGCGGATGAGGCGGCGCTTTGTGCGAAATGCGATGTTGAAGTTCATGCTGCCAATAAGCTGGCGAGTAAACATCAGAGGCTTCTCCTTCAGTGCCTCTCCACCAAGCTCCCCAAATGCGATATATGCCAAGTAATTACTATCTCTCTCTGTTGGTTCTCTTTGATTTTCTTGCTTGTTCGTTTGCGAATATGGTTGGTCTGATCTGATCTGATTAGGTTAGATGAACGATTGAGAGTTTGTATGGTGGTCTCGGCTAAATTTACTTAAGTCACAAGAAAACCCAATAGTGTAACTTCACTTGTGAGTTTGGAAATTCATAAGAGACTAAACAAGTGACTACCAAAATATTAATTGGGAAGGAAGTAAGTGGGAAGAAGTTTGAACGCAAGGCCTTCTGTTTCGACTTTAATCATCACATGCTTTTGGGTTTAGTAGTAGGGATTCAGAATTTGGGTTGTGGTAAATTTGATCTTTTATGCATATTTTTTCTAACGCATAATATAATATAATATCAATGCAAGTCTTTCGTTTTACCAACATGTTGCTGGTGGGTAGAGAATCATTTTCCATGATGTCTAACCATTTGACTCCCTGATTGCTAGATGATACTAATGAAAGAAATTGTGAAACGGCTTCAAGATCCTGAACTTGCATTTGTTTTGAATAATCGAAATAAAAATCCACACTCGTACTTCGTTCTTATGATTTAATCTGTTTTTATGGTCTGCATTTTCCTTTTTGTTTTTGAGGAAACAAAGGTAGAAAAAGATAGTATCCAGCACGTGAAGTTTGAGACAGAGAGAATCCTTAAGGAGTATTTGTAGCTGTTTCCTAGTCTTGAGAGTTAAATATCAATGCTGATGGAAATGTTAAATCTCAAGTTTCAAGTTTATAAATCGTCCGTCATTATTTTGTTGAGAGTCTTATTAAAACATCCAAACTTACCTTCAAAGGATGTTGTTATTTTGGCGCTCAAAAGGTGGGCAGCATTTTACTTGAGATGAAAAATGCTGAGTATTCTGTATCTCATTTTGTATCAGGACAAGGCGGCTTTCATCTTCTGTGTTGAAGACAGAGCACTTTTTTGTCAAGATTGTGATGAACCAATTCACTCAACTGGTAGTCTTTCAGCAAACCACCAGAGGTTCCTAGCAACTGGAATCAGAGTGGCCATGAGCTCAAGTTGCTCGAAGGACGTCGACAAGGTCAAGATGGAACCTCCAAATCCGAAGAACCCTCAGGTTCCTGCTAAAATGCCTTCACAACAAGTTCCTAACTTCACATCCCCATGGGCTGTTGATGACTTTCTCCACTTCTCTGATCTTGAGTCTTCTGACAAGGTAATATTTCTAGATGCTACACCTTTGATCCATCCATATATTTGCTTTTTGTGGATAATACTGCAATTAAGGTAGTGAACTTTTTGAAAGAAAAAAGTGGAGATGAAGTGACAAGTAATTTATGCAATCATATCTCTTGCTAAAATAGTACAGCTCACTATCTAGAAAACATTACTTTTTGAATCTTTACTTTCTTGCAATAAGAAGGTCACACACTAAGGATGAGTTTGGGATGACTCTAAGAAGGCACTTCCTGTTTGATTAGATAATAAAAAATGATTTAAAAATTCTAAATAACACTACAAAGCATGTAAAGTGCTTTTAGGAGAAACACTTCATTAGCAATTCTTCGAAAGTGCATGCCGAAGAAGTGCTTTCACTTAAAGTCTCTAAATATTAGACGGTTGGTTTGAATCCATACCCTGCAGTGTGTTTTGAAATTTCGGAGTTCTGATGCAAAAATTGTATTTTCAATGGGCAAAATCCCTCAAACAGTAGGCTGCGGTTTGGATCCATGCCCTGTAGTTTCTTTTGAGATTTCTGGTGCTTACTGTTTCTAACATAGAGGCAGATTTGTCACGAAGTGTTGCATTTCCATTACTTGATTTATATTTCACTATCTAGTTACGATTATTCGGGACACTACACTTATCTTCAAACTCCATTTTACAGCAGAAAGAGCATCTCGAGTTCGGAGAGCTAGAATGGCTAGCAGAAATGGGTCTCTTCGGTGAGCAGGTTCCGCAAGAAGCTTTAGCAGCTGCGGAAGTTCCTGAGATTCGGACTTCACACTCGGGTAGTGCAATCTCATACAGACCTACAAAGTCGAGCACGTCGTACAAAAAGCCTAGGATCGAGATGCCAGACGAGGAGGAGTTTTTCACTGTCCCTGATCTTGGATGAAGAGAAGAGATAAAATGATGTTGAGTTGGTATGCTTATGAATAATACAATTTATGACCTTCAACAGTGTAAGTGTTTATGTATGTAGTATTGTCTACATCTATGGTTTGATAGTATGCATTATAGTATAGTATAGAATAGTAGTTTGCTTTGATCTCATGGCTAGAATACTCATTCAGTCTTGTTACTTTTACTTTTACTTTCGTACCTTACTGTAACTTTTCTTGGATCTCATATGAAAAATTTAAGATTATTTATGAGAATTGTAGCTTTTAGGGCTGAAAGATTCAAGGGCTCTTTGATAATTCTGTTTTTAGTGTTTAGTTTTAAAATACTAAGTTGATAACCACTTCATCTATGTATCTCTTTGTTTTCTTGCATTTCTAACACAATTTTGAAATTTAAGCCAAGATTTCAAAACTAAATAGAGTAGTTTTTAAGAAGCTGGCTTAGAAATCAAATCTCTAGAGGTGAAAAAACATACTGAAAAGCTTCGAAAGAGTAGTTTAGTTGGCAAGAGTTTGAAGCATTTGGTTATATTGACTTAGAGGTTTAAAGCTCGAACTTTCGAGTGAATATAATACAAAACATTCTTGATGTCTCTTTGACTCGAGCATGTAGTGTGGGTACAGATACCTTTGGGTGTCGGAGAGCAAAGTTTCAACTCTATTTAAAAAAAAAAGTGGAGAAATAAAGTTTATTTCTATTAAACTTTTTAACTTTTCCTGGTTGAACTTCAAATTATGCTTCGGCACTAAACCATCAAACTAATGCATACTATCAATTTTAAACTTATTGAAAATGATACATCAAGAAGTAAGAACTCTATTTCTTGAAACTATATTTCTTTAAGCATCGTGAGTCAGTATACGTGAGTTACAATAAATCATTCGATTCCAATAATTGAACAAACTTTTTTTTTGTCATTTGAAAGTTTTTCTAGACCCAAGATCGTACATAGCTATCAACATTACATTTAAAATGGATACAATAACTAACAAAAAACAYTAATAAATTTTCGGGGAAATTGAAAAAACCACCCTTAAATTACACGGGTTGGTAACCGCCAAAAACACCATTAACCACACATGCAGATTCTACGTTGGATTTTTTGGTTAGTGGCTACCGAATAGTCCAGCTTGAGACTAATTTGAGCTTCATAGTGCTTTTGCAGGACCYATATTGATTCTAATTGCACAAAATCATCCAAGCTGATCAAAATTCGGCATAAACACATGAAGTCTTTTACTCAAACCTTCAGGTTAGCTTTTTAATACCAAAACCTCGTTTTATTTATTTTGATTAAGATTTATTTTTTAAGATAAACTTTGATTTAACCAAAAAAGAAAAAAAATTGAAACTATCTAACAACAAAATGATTTTTTTTAAGGCAAAATTGTAGAGAAAGAACACTAAATATAAAAGAAACCATAGATAACGCCCAAAGATGCTGCCCCGTTGGCAAGTATGTGAATCTTGATAGTATCACCAACTATAGGATCTAGGATCTTGTGTTTGAACCTCTTTTTAATTTATTTTGGAAGCCAAACTTTGATTATATGGATGAATCATTTAATTTCCATATTCTTTCTTGTTTTCTTCTTCAACATTTCTACTATTTTTATAAATAATCTTCGAATCATAAATTAAAAAAAAAAAAAGTTGAGGACAAAATGAATTTTGTTAATGCAAAATATTAGGGACATAACATAATATATATATATATATTAAAGACAATTGGACCATTGGTACCACCCAAAGATGCTCCCGTTGGCAAGAGCACGATACCTTTCATCTACCCTGAGGTATTGACTTCTAATTTTTTTTATTAACTTTTAAATACCAAAACTTAATTAATTTATTTATGTTAAGATTTATTTTTTTAAGTCAAACTTTGATTATACGAATTACTCATTTAATTTCTAGTCTTCTTTCTAATTAGATTTTTTTTTTAAGTCAAACTCATTTAATTTCTAGTCTTCTTTCTAATTTTTCTTCTTCAACCTTTTTACTATTTTTCCAAAATAATATTTGAACTAAAAAAATATTTGGAAAATATTTAACGAGAAAATGATTTTAAAYGCAAAATAGTAAAGGAGGAATACAATATATAAACGAAATAAACCATATGCATAACTCAAAGACGCTACCTTGTTTGCAAGCACTTAAAAGTCTCGTGGTATCTTCCATGAGGTCTTGTGTTTGAACCTTCTCAGCTGGTTTGCTTTATTTTTTAAGCCAAACTTTGATTATATGATTACTCATTTAATTTTCATCTTCTATATACTGTTTTCCATCTTGAAGTTTTCTATTCTATTTAAAAAATAATATTTGAACCACATAAACAAAAAATAATTATAGAGGCGATACAAAATATATAAAACAAATAAACCATAAGTAAACTACAAAAATACTACTTCGTTGACAAGTGCATGAGTCCTCGTGATATCACTGAGGTCTTGTGTTTGAAACTTCAAGTTAGTTTTTTAATACCAAAAGTTAATTTATTTTTTTAAGTAAGATTTATTTGTTAAGCTAAACTTTGATTATATGAATTACTCGTTTAATTTTTCATATTCATCATTGTTTTTCTTCTGGAAGATTTCTAAATTATGATAAATAATCTTAGAACCATATTCTTTTTAAATATTTAACGAGGACAAAATGATTTTTTTAAATGCAAAATTTCAGAGGCATAATGCAATATATATACATAATGAAAATTTTATGTAATATCAGAAGATATGACAAACACATAGATCCATGTGGTTATTATCTATTATAAGGTCTTGTGTTTGAATCTTTAATTTAGTTTTTTAATACTAAAACTTCGATTTATTTATTTTCTATAAGATTTATTTTTTAACCAAACTTTGATTTATTTTTTAACCAAACTTTGATTATATGGATGACTCATTTGATTTCCATATTCTTTATTGTTTTTCTTTTCGGAGGCTTCCTTGACTTCTACAACTTTTGAAAAATAATCTTGGAACAAATAAAATAAAAAATTAAAATATTTAACGAGGACAAAATGATCTTTGCAAAATTGTAGAGGTATAACGTAATATATATATAAAATAAATTTCATGTGACACCTGAAGATGCTACGTACTCTATTGGCAAGTACATAAATCTTCATGTCATCACCTACTATAAGATCTTGTGTTCGAACATTCAAGTTAGCTTTTTAATTTATTTTTGAAGCAAAACTTTGATTATATGGATGACTCATTTGATTTTCATATATTATTTCTTGTTTTTCTTCTTTGAGCTTTCTACGATTTTTGACAAATAATCTCGGAACCATAAAAGGGTTTCAAAATATTTAACAAGGACGAAAATGATTTTTTAATGCAAAAATTGTAGAGATGGGAAACACTTTATAAAAGAAATAGACTATAGGTGACACTTAAAGACACTATTCCATTGACAAACGCACAAGTCTTGATGATACCACCTACTACGAGGTCTCGTGTTAGCGTTTGGATGCTTGGAGTCAGAAGAGGAAGACCATCATCTCTATCCGGGTACAATCATAAATTTATTCATTCGTTGAACCTTTAGGATAGCCATTAGCATTGAGGTCAATTTTTTAATTTTTCAAGCCAATCATTTATAATATGGAGACTCATTTAATTTCCATGTTATTTCTTGTTCTTCTTTGGGAAGGTTTCTACCATTTTTGAAAATAATCTTAGAACCATAAAAAAATTTTTAAAAAAATATTTAACAAGGACAAAGTGATTTTTTAATGCAAAATTGTAGAGGCGAGACACAATTTATAAAAGAAATTAGACCGTAAATGACATCTAAAAATGTTATCCCGTGGCCCAATGTACAAATCATTATGGCATCATTTATGACGAGGTTTTGTGTTCGAACCTATAGGTTAGCTTTATAACACAAAAACTTCATTTATTTATTTTTTAAGCCAATCTTTTATTATATGGATGACTTATTTATTTTCCATATTCATTTTTGTTTCTCTTTTTGGAGGTTTCTACAATGTTTGACAAATAATCTTGGAACCATAAAAAAAAATTAAATATTTAACAAGGACAAAATGATTTTTCTAAATGGAAAATTGTAGAAGCGGTAAACAATTTATAAAAGAAATAGACCACAGGTGACACCAACGCAACCAATCTTGATGGTATCACTTATTATTAAGTCTTGTATTCAAACCTTCGGTTTAACTTTATATTTCAAAAACTTCATTTATTTATTTTTAGTAAGATTTATATTTTAATCCAAACTTTTATTATAGGATGACTCATTTAATTTCCATATTCTTTCTTGTTTTGTTTTTCTGGTTAGAGGTCTCTACAAATTTTGACAAATAATACTGGAACCATAATTTTTTTTTTTAAAGTGTTTTAACGATGACAAAATATGATTTTTTTAAATGTAAAATTGCAGGAGCAGAACGCAATGTATACAAAAAATAAATTTCATGTATCACTCAAAGTTGCTTCCCTTGTTGGCAAGTGCATGAGTCCCCGGTGTATCACCTACCATGAATTCATTTGTTTAAACTTTGGGTTAGTTTTATATTACCAAAACTTAATTTATTTATATCTAATTTTTAAGCCAAACTTTTGTTCATATGGATGACTCGTTTAGTTTTCATATTCTTTCTTGTTTTTCTTCTTCGAGCTCTCTACAATTTTTGACAAATGATCCTGGAACCATTAAAAGAAAATTGAAAATATTTAATGAGGACAAAGTGATTTTTTTCACAAAAAAATATTATCATATATTACCACTTACAATTGAAACTAAAGTTTAGTCTTGATCGTGAAATATCTGATGGTTTCTTCTTTTTAGTACCATGAGAGTATGAATTCGAACTCATGACTTTTTGATAAAAAAAAATGTGCCTCAACCAACTAATTTATGTCTAGATTGGCCAAATATGTGATGGTTATATAAATCATTGAGACATGTATTTTGCAAAAACCACTCCTAAACGCAATAAGGGTTGAATTCTAATTAATCACATACCTTTAAACATTCAATTTCATCGATCACAACTGAAGGTTTTTTTTTAATTAATTATTTTTTTTAGGAAGATCACACCTAAAGTTGTTGCACAGTCTATATACTTATTTAGAATCATTAATATTATTTTATTTAGATATGACTCATAGAATAATGAAACATGAACCAGTCAAGACAACCTAAGCATAACTCAATTGGTTAAGATATATTATTTTCAATCAAAATATTAGAGGTTTGAATCTCCATCTTCATCTTGTGTTAATCTAAAAAAATGAAAAAAAGAATCAGTCAAAGCACGAGTCAAAGGACAATCCAAACAAATCAGTCAGTCGAGATGAATCAAAGTCAAGTTGCACACTTTATATACTAATTTAGAATCATTATTTTTTCCATTGAGTACAAAATGGTTGAGTGTTTAACCTAAATTTTTTATGATTCAAATTTCTTTGATACCTATTTTAGTTTATTATTTTTTATGTTTAACCTAAATTTTAAAAAATTGTAGTTTGGTTAATTACTAACACAATTTCTAATTTCTAATGTGGTCAATCCGAACATAACTGTAGTGGATATGAAATTTATTACCATCTCAATAGTCAATGGTTTGATTCCCACTCCGCAAATATTGAAATAAAAGAAAAAAAAATAACATAACATAAAACTTACAAATTCTAATGTTTGTTTTTTATATCTATATATTTCTTAGATACATTTAAATCGGTTGAGATTACAAGTTGGAGTCCATTTATTATGATGGAGGACATTTTCATTGTTGGGTGAAGATATTAAATTCCTGATCAACCGTTTATGATAATGGAGTTTTTTTTTTCCTTTCTTTTTTTTCTTTGGACAATAAATAAGGGTGAGAATTTGAACTTCAGACCAGAAAAATAGCAGGTATCTTAACCGACGAACTATGCTCATTTTGACATGACGGGAATAAATTCAACAAGTTCATATTCTATTCCATATATTATTCTCAACTCTCATGTTACATAATTATATAATTATTTTTTTTCAAATTGAACGTTGGCATATAAATATAAAGAAAAGGAAAATACTTAGCTCCTTAATAGCAACGAGGGATGTTGTCATTACTGAACATATTTGTCACAATAAAGACGTAAAATTAAATTATTACTCAACATTGAACATTCAACCTTTTTTTTTCAACATCAACATTATGATATTTTACTTCTATTCAAAAGTTACTTCTCTAAGTGGTTTTGGTGTTACTAGAAATTATAAAAACACTTTCAACTATGAAATCAAAATCCCAAAAACTTGAAAAGTGATATATCATTTCATTCATTAACTATGAAAGTTGAAAGGCATACAATTTGAGAAACTTAAATTTTGTAGCACCACTAATTATGATCATCAAACACCCTTCTAGTCATTTCTTTTCTTTGGCCAACAATTCCTCCTCTTTGATCTTTGTCTCTTTGAAGTTCTTTTTCCTTCCACCATTGCCACAATCCATAGAGGTTTCCCAATTCGAAAAACAATATACCCAACAAAAATTCCCAATACCACCCCACATCCATACCCCATGAACACAACTTTCCACCAAAACCCTTTTTCAAAAATTTCATCTTCTTCATCATGTAGTAGTTGAGATTTAGGATCCTTTTCTGCACCACATTTTGGCAGAGGAAACCCACACAGTCCAAGGTTTCCGATGTACGAAGAACGCTCGAAAGTAGCAAATTGTTTTCCTTGAGGAATTGGTCCTGACATCTGATTTTGTGAGAGATTCAAAAAGGAGAGAAATGTAAGAGCAGCCAACTGAGGAGGAATGTTACCCGACAGTCTATTCGAAGAAAGATCTAACCATTCGAGATTGTTCAGATTCCCAAACGGCCTAGGAATTTCACCTGTAAGCTTATTGTGTGAAATGTTGAGACCTTTCAGAGACACGAGCATCCCAATTGACATTGGTATCTCTCCACGAAAATCGTTGCTTGACAAGTCAATAGCTTTGAATATCAATAGAATTTTTTCCAACTTTAGCTCCAACCCTTTCAGTGATACCACGACTGAGCTTTGATAGACAGATTCAATTGAAAACTTGGGTTTTTTGTTTCCCACTTCAACTTCCTTCATGGCTCTCAAGTTCTTAAACAAGTTTGATGGCAATGGCCCGCTGAAACGATTGCGTGAGAGATCAATGATTCGTAGGTTTTGAAAAGACTGTTGATTCATGGAGTTGTTGATACGACCATAAAATCGATTGGATCGAAGGATAAGAACTTGCAAACTCGACGCAGATTCCAACCAATGAGGGAAGTAACCAGTTATCTTGTTGTTCCCAAGATTCAAATCTTGAAGATCCTCACAGTTCAACAAAGACCGTGGCAGTTCTCCTTCCAGTTGGTTGTTGTTCAAATCAAGGCTTCTGAGCTGACTCCCTCTTGAAAAACATGTCGGAATAGTCCCAGAAAAGTTGTTACTTTTAAGATCCAACACTAAAAGAGAAGTGATATTTGTTAGACATGGCGGAATTGTACCACTCAGACGATTATTAGAGAGACTAAGGACACCAAGGAAGGTGGCATTGCAGATTGAAGGAGGGATTTCTCCACTGAACTGATTTTCTGAAGCAGTGTAGATAGAAAAGCTTGGTGATGGGATGGGAATAGCACCAGAAAAATTGTTCCTTTCCAATTTCAAAATAAAAGTCACACTGGAACTTATACAAGATGGAACTACACCACTCAAGTTATTATTGGACAAATCTAGGAAATTAATGTGGGTGTGTTGACAGAATGAAGGATGGAGATTTCCACTGAGTTGATTGTTTGAAACAGTAAATATGTTCATAAATGGTGGCAACGTGGGAATGGGTAGCTTGAACAAGTTAAAATCAAGAATGATATCATACAGATAAGGCAAAGTGAAGAGCACATCTATTCCTGATGACAAGAAGTTGTGAGAAACATTGAGGGAGGACAAAGAACCCAATTCAGAAAACCACACGGGAATCTCTCCTCGAAGTTGGTTATCTGAGAGGTCTAGATTCATCAAGTTCTTCTTATATCTTAAAAAGTAGGGGAATTTTTCTAATTTGAGGGAACGCATTCCAACCCATAAAAGATTCGCGGAGCTAACATTGGTAGAGTGTATCGAAAGTTGGTGATTATTGGAAATGTCAAGTGATGATAGACTTTGAATTCTCAATAACATGTCTAAGTTCAAAACCCCACTTAAATTATTGGACCCTAATTTTAAATCAGTAAGATTCACTTGTCTATGCATAGATTCAGAGATTTCACCTTGCAAGTTGTTTTCACTTAAATCGAGAGAGTTCAACGAAGTGGATTTGAAATCCATCATGGGACCATTGAAATGGTTATGAGAGAGATCCAAGTAGGCTAAACGTGGCAATGCATAGAGCCAAGAAGGTATGGCACCATTGAGTAAATTACCTTCCAAGTTCAAGTGAATAAGATTTGAAAGTCTATGTGAAGAAACATTTGAAGGTAAAGGACTTGAAAAGAAATTAGATGAAGCTGTCAAGTGGGAAAGGAGGGTGAGGTTGAAAAGAGAATTAGGTAGAGAACCCATAAAAGAATTTGTCTGGATTTCAATGTTAGTTAGCTTTTGAAGGTTGTTCCATGAATTGGGAAATTGGCCATTGAACTTATTTTCAGAGAGATGAATGGTATTGAGCTGTGTAAGGTTTCCTATTGACTCTGGAACTCCACCAGTGAAGTTGCAGAAACTGAGGTCTAAATACCTCAAAAACTTGGCATTACCAATGGAGTAGGGAATCTCTCCTGAAAAATTAGTTGAAACAAGATCTAAAATTTCAAGAGATTTACTCCAATTAGACATAGGCAAATGGCCATTCAGTCCATAATTATAATCAAGTTGCAACACACGCAAGTTGGGAAGACTTAAAATGTGGCTTGGAAAATTTCCATTCAACCCACACGAAGAAAGACTAAGAGAAGTTAAAGAGAGGGAGAAGTTCATAAAAGAAGTGGGTGTGATGCTAGAGAGATTTACATTAGCAAGTGCAAAATTCCTCAGCTTGGTTAGGTTATGAACAAGCTGATTCATAACCAAATTTGAGAATTTGAGGTCATCATTCTTAGAAAGATCGAGAGAAACCAGATTCGACAAGTGTGATATTTCGATTGGAACGTCTCCTTTGAAGGAGGATGAGGAAAGATCCAAAACCCTCAAGTTTTGAAACATTCCAAATTGAGGTGAAAATGGAGAAGAATCAAAAGAGTTGAAAGAAAGATTCAAACTTTGGAGGTGGGAGAGGGTGAAAATGGTGCTGTTGGGATGAAGAGTTCCATTGAGCCGACTGCAGCTGACGTCGAGTCGAACGACATGGCCTTCTCCTTCGTCGTCGCACTCCACACCAAGCCATGAGCAGCAATCTGTGCTCTCCTTCCATGTCGCTGTCTTTGGATAAGAAGTTTGTCTCTCAAACTCACTGCAACCAAAGTGTGCAAATTGACTCAGGGAAAAGGCTTTCTTGAACTCCAACAAGGCCAAGCTTTCTTTTGGATCGCAGAGATGATGGGAATTGACAAGAGAATTGCAGAGGAAAAGAAGGAAGAAGCTGCACACTTGATAAATTAGCAATGCCATGATGTTGGAGGAGAAGTGCTTTAGAAAGTCTAGCACATGAGCTACTGAGTTTTTATAGTGAGTTTTTTAATTACTTTTTATTATAACACATCACAATAATTAGTTTTGACAAATCTGTTCTTGGTAATTTTGTTGATGTAAGAATTTGCCAATTCAGATTACAAAATTTGAACTAATCTTCTAGAAAAAAATGGATCGAAATACTGCAAAATAAAAGGATTACACACCTGTGGAGTTTTATGTGAAGCATAGCCAAAAATAGAGTTTTGTAGTCTATAGGAAAAAACCTTCTCTTAGAGCAAATCCTAAGACAAGGGTAGAAAATAGAGATTTTTCCTATCCATACAACTTTTATAAATATACAAAAATGTGGTTATTTATTTATTTTTGTAACTACAACCTATGGAATGGGATCGAACTCACAAGTTGATTGAAGATATATTGTGAATTGCCGTTGAAGTATCCGGCTTTCGCAAGTCAAAATGAGTTCACAAGGCCGAGAAAAAAAAAGTGTTATTATCTGTGGTGGAAAAAATTAAGTCAAATATTGTTAAAGTCTTTCATCGAAAACATGAGCCTGTGAGCCTACTTCAGTAGTTAAAAGCACTTTACTTTTTTTTAGAATATTGGAAGTTATTTTTTATTTTATTTTTTGTCTATATATACACGAAACAAATATGTTTTGGTTTCACCTTTTGTAGGGTTTGAAACCCAACTTGGTTGAATTTAAATTCCATCATAAATGGTTGGTTGGGGACTTTAATTTCCTTGTCTGGCAATGAAAATATCATCCATCATTTCTCTCATTTGAACTTTCATTTCAAAATAAGGGATTCCGATATATAATTTCTTTCTTTCTTTTAAATTATCAACCCCGTGCATATTCTACGAGTCATTTAGCTTTTAAAAATGATATAATGTTGAACGACTTTTCGACAATCATTTAAAACTATGAAAATTAAAAAGCAATATGTGTGTGTTTGTAACTTTAAATTGTGAATATGTATTTTTTATACAATAAACTTAAGTTGCATTAAGTTAGGAAAAAAACCGAAGAAGAAAGCGTTAGAGTGATGCATAAGTTAAAAAAAATGGATACCAATAAATGAGAAAAATGAGGTGAGAAAGTGTATGGAGAGAGAAAAAAGGGAAAAGAATGGTCAAACACATTTTAAAATATCTAAAAGAGATTTTGATGAGATTATGGGTTTAATACAATAATTAAAATAATGGAATAGCGAACATTTGTCATTCTATTATTGGGCTACATGAAGGTAAGGAGCCCAATGCTCCTTAACATTAAGGAGCCAAATTTTTTCCCTTTCTTGATGGTAGAATCCCGTCTTTCAGGTATTTGATCAACGGATCCATCCAATTCTGCCTGAGCTATTTTGGTTCGTTGATCTCCATCACATCCTGTACTTGTATGCTTGGTAAGGGAAAAATTTCAATTGGAACGGTCCTCCTTAAGTCTGTTATGTAGGTTGCACTAAGTCGAGCGAAGGAATCTGTGTTAACATTTTTAGAACAAGGGATTTGTTTGATCTCATACTTTGAAAATATGACGAGTTAATCTCTTACATTGGCCAGGTAGTCTATCGTTCGTAGCTCTTTAGCCTGGAATTCTTCTTTCACTTGGTTCACAATCAATTGTGAATCAGTGAGAATAAGGAGATTGGTGACACCAATATATATGAACACTCTTTATCTTGCTAGTAGAGCTTTATATTTGGCCTCATTGTTGGAATTAAGCATGAAAGCTGAATCAGAGTGCATACTCGAATAACTCTCCATCGAGAGAAAGAGTAAGAGACCTGCTCCACAACCTCTGATGTTCGAGGATCCATCCACATAAAGTGTCTAGAGTGGTTAATCTTCGTGATATGAAATAAGTTGAGAGTTGATGTTGTAGATTTAGTGTTATAGATCTTTTGGCATTGGTGTTAGTTCCACTATTAAATCTGCCACAACCTGACCTTTCGTTGCCGTTCTCGGTCTGTAGTAGATGTCGTACTCACTGAGCTCCACTATCCATTTCACTAGTCGACCTGAGGTATCAGGTTTTTGTAGGATCTACCGCAAAGGGAAGTTAGTTAAAACAATTATCTTATGTGCTTGGAAGTAGGGACGTAGGCTTCGGGCAGAGGTGATCAATGCTAGTGCCAATTTTTCGACTTGTGGGTATCTAGTCTCTACTTCTATCGTGGCCTTGCTCGTGTAGTAAATGGGAGATTGATGATCGTTCTTTTCCTTCATCAATGCTGAACTCACGACAATTTCAGATACAACAAGGTAGAGGTAGAGTTCGTCGCTAGGGACATGCTTTAATGGTATAAAACAGCTTCACATCAACATTCTCCTAGTTGAGGTGCTAGAGCAAATGTCCAACTATGTGCAGTTCTTGAAGGATATCCTTACTAAGAAAAGAAGGTTGGGTGAATTTGAAATTGTGGCATTGACTAAGGAATGTAGCATGATTTTGACTAGTAAACTTCCTCAAAAGATGAAGGACCAGAGGAATTTCACCATTCCAATTTCCATTGGTAGTAAGGATGTAGGGAGAGCACTCTGTGATTTTGGATCAAGCATCAATCTCACGCCTTTATCTATTTATAAGAAGTTAGGAATAGGTGAAGTAAGACCTACCATTTTGACTCTACAGCTTACAGATAGATCCATCAGATATCTAGAAATGAAGATTGAGGGATGTGCTAGTTCAAGTAAATAAGTTCATATTCCTTATGGATTTCATCATTTTATACTATGAGGCTGACAAAGCAATTCCAATTATTTTTGGAAGACCCTTTTTGGCAACAGGAAGAACATTGGTAGATGTCTAAAGAGGTGAGCTAACGATTCAAGTGTATGATCAAGAGGTAACATTTTCTATTTTTGATGCGATGAAGTGCCTCTTGCTGAGTTAGAAGAGTGCTCCATTGTACGTATCTAGGATGATGTGCTACAAGATGAGTTTCAGAAGAAGGATTTGCTGGAGCAATTGACTAAAGTCAACTTGGAACAATATGCTATTAAGGAAGAAGATTGTGATGAAGCAATATACTCTAAAAGTGACAAAGAGAAAGAAATCAAGCCGTTGGAGCTTGAGAGAAGAAAGTTCAAGGCCATGAAACCATCAAAGAAGAAAGCATCTAAGCCGAAGTTTAAAGTACTGCCACAACAATCCTATCTCCGTGAAGTAGCTCTAGCCAAGAGTATTCTTCTGATTTTAATGAGAGCTTGCAAGAAGAAAAAGAAGAAGAACAAAAATTTATCCAATGTTTGAGTTTTATGTTGTTTTTATTTTGTTATTTAATTGGTAGTTAGACAACTTTTAGTTTAACAGTAATATTTACAATTTTTGTTCCAGGAAAGATCTAAAAAAAGTATGCTTGAGCAGCCGCGAGGCTTAAGCATCATTTTCAAACCAGGGAGACCTAACATAAATAAGAATCTAAAGGAGAACATGTTTGGAAAGGGGAGTTAATTTTTCTGATGCTGCTTAAACTTTCATTGTCTAATTTCCTACTTTTAGTTCTCTGCGTTTTAATTTTCTGCTGGTTAGTCTTGTACTTTTAATTATGAATTTCTGCTTGTGTTGGATTACTAATTATGGATAAGGAAAATTCTTGTCCAATTTCTAAGGTGTCTAAGAGTAGCACAGAGCTAGCATAATCTCTCGATATCCCCTAATGGTGACAAAATACAACTTTAGCAACTTTCAATGGCTATCCATCCTTAACTCCATCAATGAATTATTGCCTTTTGCATTATTTGTTAAATACTAGACCCCTATTCTCTAGTCTTTTTTATACACCAAACATCAGTAGACTGTTTCAGTATTAAGTTTGGGGAGCACTGTCCTTATCTACTCTACAAGCTCTATGCCAGTAGCCTTTTTCGCATTGAGGACAATGCTTAGTTTAAGTTTGGGAGTGTAGAACCTATTTGTATATGTGAACATACTTTCTGCCCTTGTAATACAATTATGTACTTTTTGGCCTTATAATTCAGCTAAAAAAAATATTTAAGAAGTTGCAGGATCAGAAAAGGCTAAATATTTTTTTTACAACAACTTCTTAAATATTACTCTAGGCCCACTTCTTTTACCCCGAGAATTTACTACTATAAAAACGAAAAAACTCCTAAAACTTACTCTAGGCCCACTTTATCTGATTTGTTGACATAAAATTGAGGAGGGGTATAAAAGCTTGCATTCAAAGGTGCCTCCATAAATGATTCTCCATAAATCCATAGAGAGAACAAAATAAGAAAGGAGCGAAGATTCTGAAGAAGACAAAAAGGGAGGTGAAGGGTTGTTGTCATTCTTTATTTTCTTCTTCTTTTGTATTCTTTAGTACATGAGTTTTGTATTTTCTTCTTCCCTCTTATTTGTTCCTGAGTTAAGTAGCTAAATACATTTCGGGGGTTGTAGACCTTTGTTTGTGAATGCTGATTTTCTGGTTTATAAAGTTGTTTCTACTTAGTTAAAGCTTATTTTGCATTTTTTTAAAGTTCAATAGGATTGATCACCATGTTGGATGAGCTCTCTATTAACTTTTGGGAGATTGTAATAGAGAGAGAATAGTTTTAACTTGTGTTAGATCTACATTCGAGTTTAGACCGTAGGTGCTTATAAGGAATATGTCTCACCTAACATGGTTGAAAACTGAGTTGAAAAGTTGTTGGTTTTACAGTAGTTAAAATATCGTTGAAATCTGAAAAATTTGAGAATATTTCTTGTTGCTGGAGCATTGGTTAGTAACATTATAGTAACAGGAACACAACTCAACCACTTTTTTTACATTTGAGTATCTGTTTTCACTTCTTGTTCTTATGTTTGTGCTAAGGGTTTGATACTTTTAAATTCTTTTTATTAATGTTTTAAATGCACTTTTATTTTATTTCAAAAGTAGGGATAATCCAAAATATCTCTTCTTTGTTTTTTTCCATATTTCTTGAGTGAAAGTTGAAGTGTTTAGTTACTCAATTCCTGTAGATTC